CCAGTGTTGCAGGATCGTCGAGCAGAGGTGCTGCGCAAAGCGTTTTCCATATCCAGAAGAAAACTGCTCAGCGCATTTTGCAATTGCATGTGAGTACGCGCGTAGGATTCTGGCGCGTGTGTCGAGTTGGTTCTGGGCTTCCGCGATGAGGGCTTCCGCGTCTGCGAGAGCGTCGTCAGCATCTTGGTTCTGGGTCGCTAGAGGTGCGAAGCGGTTCGTGTTCGGTCGTTGCTGTCGTTTTTCGGTTGCCGATCGTACGGACTGCTGTCGTATCGGGCTACTGCTCTCAGTGAAGAGGCGAGTGCGCACTGGGATGCTGTCGCGCGTGATCAATCTCTGCGGGCCTTCCAACGGGTTGGGGCTCGAGGAGTTGTCACGCCGCGGCGCATCACCAGCGCTAGCGGCATTTGGTGGCGCAGGCGCCATGCCGTTCGGCGTGTGCTTCGAGAATTTGTGCAAATTTATTACGGTTTATTCCACTATCTTTCTGTTCTAAAAAACACAAGGTATGGCGTACCCTGTGATGTAGATGAAAGATGACCGACACACTCTTCTGCACTATCGATTGCTCCCGGGTAACAGTTGAGGACAGTCACAAAGTGACTGCCGGTGAGATCCGGTCCACGTTGGAACGAGCAATGAGAACCGAAAAGGAATCCGCAACATGGCGATGCCGCGCCGTTACAAGAGACCCTAAAGACACGTCACGCTTCCGAGTCATGTGCCGAAATGAGGAAGAACAGCAAAAAATAAAGCAACTGGTGGAAGCGAAACTACCCGAAGGCACAAGGGTGCTTCGTGACGAGCTGCATCGAATTCGAGTGGACAATGTCGTGCGAGATGTAGTGCTAGATCAAGCTGGAAAAGAACTTCCAAGCCTGACGGAAATGCTATCCACCCAGAACGACACTAGAGTCACGAAAGCCACATGGTTGAGCCACAGATTCCTGAAACAGCATGGTCCATCGTGGTCTGCCTTGAAAAAGAATCAGAGGCTAGACGATTCCTCGCAGACGGCTTTTTCCGCGCTGGAGAACTATCGGGGAGAACTGCAGTTTTCGAACCTAGCGAGCGGCCCAACCAGTGCTATAACTGCCAAGAACTGACGGATCACAAAGCATACCAGTGCAAGAAACCGCAGGTGTGTGGCAAATGTGCACAGGAAGGCCACCATCACAGCACTTGCGCAACAATGATCGCAAAATGCGTCCCGTGTGGTGGACCCCACGAGTCATTCAGCAAAAACTGCCGGAAACTTTACCCTCATAGACATGAATAAGTCGCTTCGTCTTATTCAGCTAAATGTGCGGAAACGAGGCGAAGTGCATGACAGTTTGATGAACGATGAAGATATTCGAGATGCAGCAGTAGTAGCGATTCAGGAACCACAGGCAAGGATAATAAAGGGTCGGCTGCTGACTACCCCAATGGTACACCACAAGTGGGTGAAGATGGTACCATCGGTCTGGAAGGAAGAAGGTAGATGGGCTATCAGAAGCATGCTGTGGATTGCAAAAGATCTAGATGCAGAGCAAGTCCCCATTGAGTCCTCGGACATGACGGCGGCACTTGTACGCATCTCCGATCGCGTGCTTCTGGTGGTTTCGGTGTATGTGGAAGGTCATGACGCGCAGGCGCTAGTTAACACGTGCGATACACTGCGCAAGTTGATACAGGATGCTAGGCGTAAGGAGGGAGGGGTGGTAGGCATGGTAGTTATGGGTGACTTCAATCGGCATGATCAGTTGTGGGGGGGAAACGAAGTCTCCATGGTGAGACAGGGCGAAGGAGATGCAATTATTGATTTGATGAACGAACTCTCGTTGCACAGTCTACTGCCGCGTGGCACCAAGACATGGCAAAGCGGGGAGCATGAATCAACAATCGACCTCGTGCTTGCGTCGGGCGAGCTGGCTGAGGGGGTAATCCGGTGTGGGCTTTACAAGACAGACCATGGCTCGGACCACTGCACGATTGACACGGTTTTTGACGCGGCGGTACCCGCCATGGAGCAACCTAAACGTCTCCTTTTCAAGAACGCAACCTGGAAGAAAATTAATGGGAGGATCGAGGAGGCGCTGAAGAAGCTGCCAGAAGAAGGCACGGTGCAACAAAACACAGACAGACTGATGACCGTGGTGTTAGAAGCGGTTCATGCGCTCACACCAAGGGCGAAACCGTCTCCATACACAAAACGATGGTGGACGTCAGATCTTACTCAACTGCGCCGAGTATATACGCACTGGCGCAACAAAGCGAGATCAGTAAGGCGAGCAGGGTGCAATGGGGAAGAACTCGAAAGAACGGCCAGAGCAGCGGCGAAACAGTATCACGATACCATCAGACAGCAAAAGAAGGCTCACTGGGATGAATTTCTGGCGGATAATGACAATATATGGAAGGCAGCCAAATACCTGAAGTCAGGCGATGGGTCGGCATTTGGTAAGGTGCCGCAACTCGTACGAGCTGACAACACAACAACCACCACTGTCGAGAAACAAGCCGAAGAGCTTCTTTCGACCTTTTTCCCACCCTTGCCGGGTGACATTCAGGATGAAGCAGAAGAGTCACAGCGGGGGCCAGTACCCATGCCAGAAATCACGATGGAAGAAGTGGAGAGACAATTGTTCAGAGCGAAGTCGTGGAAAGCGCCAGGTGACGATGGTCTACCGGTGGCAGTGTGGAAAGAAATTTGGCCGTCGGTCAAACAGAGGGTGCTTGGGCTTTTCCAAGCGTCTCTCATCGAAGGAGTCCTGCCAGACCAATGGAGACATGCCAAGATTATCCCATTGAAGAAACCAGGAAAAGAGAACTACACGGTGGCGAAGGCGTGGAGACCGATTTCACTGTTGAGTACGTTGGGGAAAGTGTTGGAGGCAGTGATTGCAGAGAGGATTTCGTATGCCGTGGAAACGTTTGGTTTGTTACCCACCAACCATTTTGGAGCCCGTAAGCAACGTTCGGCGGAGCAGGCATTGCTACTTTTGCAGGAACAGATATACAATGCGTGGAGGGGAAGACGAGTTGTCAGTTTGATAAGTTTCGACGTGAAAGGGGCCTATAATGGGGTTTGCAGAGAACGGTTACTGCAAAGGATGAGAGCCAGGGGAATACCAGAGACGCTGGTGCGATGGATTGGATCATTCTGTGCTGACCGCACAGCCTCGATTTTGGTCAACGGACACCTGTCTGGAACCAGAACACTACACCAGGCAGGACTGCCTCAAGGGTCGCCGCTTTCACCAATTTGCTACATTTTCTTCAACGCCGATCTGGTACAGAGACGCATTGATGCCAATGGCGCAACGCACGGAAAGCTGACCCTACCCCAGTGATGATTCGGGGGCAGGCGGTCATGCCAAAAGATCCTGTTAAAATTCTGGGCGTCATTATGGACTCACGCCTCAAGTACAAGCAGCACATCGCACGAGCATCAACAAAAGGGCTTGAAGCGGCCATGGAACTGAAACGACTGAGAGGACTTTCTGCCGCGACAGCAAGACAACTATTTACATCCACGGTGGTTCCGTTAGTCGACTACGCAGCCAGTGTGTGGATGCACGCATATCAGGACAAATTAGTCGGGCCTATCAATCGGGTTCAAAAAGCGGGCGCACAAGCGATTGTGGGGACGTTCCTCACGGTCGCCTCAGCAGTAGCAGAGGCGGAAGCCAATCTTGTGAGCGTTGGAGAGCGACTTTGGAAAAGGGTGATTAAAATGTGGTTGGCGATCCACTCGTTGCCGGACACCAATCCATTACGGCGAGTGACGTCGCGCATGAGAAAGTCCTACGCCGCGTTCCGATCACCTCTGTACCAGGTAACACGCAGGTTGCGAGATGTGCCGACGGACGAATTGGAAACTATTTTACCGTTTGCAATAGAACCGTGGAGAAAGAGGATGGAGGCTGAAGGGGATGGCAAGGCCGACAAGAATCTGTTAGTGGGAGGAGATGTAGTTGTGGCAGCGAGCAGCTCCGCACGCAATGGCGCAGTTGGTGTGGGAGGAGTTATTCAATGTTCAGTCACACCACAACGGAGTGTGAGACGGGAGACGTTCTCGTTCACTCTAGGGCCAAGAGCAGAGCAGAGCCCATACTCGGGAGCGTTGGCAGCCATGGCATATGTGCTAAGGCATATACCCAGTGATTGCAGGCGTGTATCGATTCTGACAAGAAACAGAGCTGCTGTGCAGTCGTTAATGAATCCGCATCAGCAGTCAGGACAAGAATTCATTCGCTGCATATACGACTCGATACAGGAGCTCCAGGAGAAGGGAACCGTTACCTCGGTCATTTGGGTACCGTCAGAAAGCGACGAGGAGCTCCTCAAAGCTGCGAAGAAGAAAGCCAAGGAAGCTACACGAGGGAGCGACACCTGAACGGCAATTTCCCAGGATGCTCTCCACCACCGTTAACATTGAGAAAAAGAAGCTGAAAGCAGAAAGGCGTATTCCAGAGAACGTTGGGAAGTACTCGAAAAGTATTGACTCAGCCTTACCAGGTGAACACACGAAGAGGTTGTATGAAGACCTGTT